CCTGGCATGTGATTTTTATGCTTAGGTGAAAAATACTTTTATAGAAGTTTTGAATATAGATGTATGTTTTTGTTTCTCTTATGAAATAATATTTTAAAACGTAATAATGCCATAACTTGCTTACAATTTTCAAAGGTAAACTCTGAATGGTTTGTTAAAAGTGATTAATGGCTATTAATAGTGAACTAATTAAAATATATGGATGAAAACTATGCTTTTCTTTTGAGAAAGGTTTAAATGCTCCCTTTTTTCTTTTGAGGGAAATCTCAGTGGTGTTTTTAGCTCCCTGCTATGGTTTTAATGTGTCTCCCCAAAAGCATGTGTTGGAAACTTAATCCCCAATGCAACAATGTTGGGAGGTGAGGCCTAGTGAGAGGTGATTAGGCCATGAGGACTCTCGTCCCATGAATGGACTAATGCCATTATCTCAGGAGTGGGTTCATTATAAAGGGGAAAGTCTGGTCCTCTTGCGCTCTCTCTCATCCTTTCTTTGCCCTTCTGCCATGGGATGACACAACAATAAGGCCCTCTCCATATGCTGGCTTCTCGATCTTGAACTTCCCAGCCTCCAGAATCATGAGCCAGTAAATTTCTGTTCATTATAAATTACTCAGTCTGTGTTGTTTTGTTACAGCAGCACAAAACAGAGTAAGATATTCACTAATTAAGATAACTGAAGGAATTGTTCTAGGAAAAAGGAATGTTTCATTAACTTTTTCAATATATATTCATATTCCCATTTTTCTGATGTTTCATGTGAGACAAACATGGGAATGAGATGTAGGTTACTTTGAGAATGAAGACATGTTCAGAAGGACTTTGGAAATAAGTATCTACAAACCCCTAAGGTTTTTATTGTGATGACTTTTAACTTGAGTATATTGTATTTGGGTACAAAAATCTTTCCACAGGATTCATATTTTTTCTAAACCAGGATCATTTAATGTAGATGAGATGGTATTTAGATAATTTAGATATTCTTTTTAAAATGATCATATATAATGGAAAATACATTCCCAGAAGAAAAAATATAAATGACCAACATACATTAAATATAAGCTAAATTTTGCTAATAAGCAATGAAGTCCAAATTCAACAATTGGGTTTTTTTTTTTTTCTGTCAGATTGGCAAAGATGATAAATATTGCTAATCCCAGTATTAGGGCTTAGTTTACAGTAAGTGAATTCTAGGTGTCAGCAAGAGTGACTCTTCCTGGGGCTCTGAGGGAGACTCTGTTCCCTTCCTGTCTTCTAGGTTCTGGTGGTTGTGACAATCCTTAGCATTCCTTGCCTTGTAGACACATCACTCCAGTCTCTGCCATGGATTCTGCATTCAGACTTTACCCTACAAAAAGACATATAATGATTTTATTGCAGAAACACAGGACAACACTATAGTAGCCATTACGGCCATGCCTACCGATCCCTTCTTTCCTCGAGACTAGCTATGTTTTCTCTGAAAAACTCTCTAGTCTCCTTGGGATCCATAAAAGTACTGTTTAAATATTTTTCTTGCCAGAAGTAAAAGAAAAATCGGAGGCTAAAAGATTGGCTGGTGAAGGTAAAATTAAGTTTTCTAAAGCTAGCAAATTTTTCTTGCTAATGTACGTTTCAGGAAAGTTGTATAATGAGTGATAATTTTTCCCTTGACCTGAACTACATTTTTAAGTTTTTATGTTTTTTTACTGGATTTTTAATTATGGAGAGACTCCCAAGTGATTTGGATTTGTTTTTGCCAATGTTTCTTACCTTTATTTTTCTTGTAGAATGGAAAATTGGTCACTGCAGTTTCTAATAATACTATTCAAGTGCACACATTTCCTGAAGGAGTTCCAGATGGTATATTGACTCGCTTCACTACAAATGCAAACCATGTGGTCTTTAATGGGGATGGCACTAAAATTGCTGCTGGATCTAGGTAAGGCTCTTTGACATCAGAAAAGGAAATAATGTTA